GCCTTTCCCTTCCCGAGGCGGCGGGACTGAGGTCGCGCCGGCGGCAGCGACTCCCGACAGCCCCGGCCGGGAAGGGAAAGGCAAAAAGCGCTTTGCCTTTCCCTTCCCGAGGCGGCGGGACTGAGGTCGCGCCGGCGGCAGCGACTCCCGACAGCCCCGGCCGGGAAGGGAAAGGCAAAAAGCGCTTTGCCTTTCCCTTCCCGAGGCGGCGGGACTGGGGCCGCTCCGGCGGCAGCGACTCCACGCCATTTTTTTTTTCAGAGGGGAATCTGACTCGAGTATAAGTCGAGGGGGATTTTTTCAGCACAAAAAATGGGCTGAAAAACTCGACTTATACTCGAGTATATACGGTAATATGAAATTGTAAACATGACAGACGAAAGTATAAATACATTGATTAGAAAGATTTTAAAAATTAGAAAAAGATATGTAATTGAATTAAGAAAGGAATGAGATAATTTAAAATAAGGCTATAGGAAGTAAAGAAAGGGAAAAGCTATTGAAATTGCGAAAATAGTTATAAGATATGGATTAGAATGTATAAGATAAATATGTATTGAGTTTATGTCTGTATGGAGAAGTGATAACCCGGGGTCACGCTGTTCTCAAAAAAGATATTTTATTTGTATTTGTATGTTTTGTAAAAACTTAAAACTTTTATTAAAAAACGAAATAAAAAGAAAATATTATCCATTTTTTATTGTTATCCCCCCCCCCCCCAAGATTTCAGTTTATTTTTCAATTGAATTGTACAGTTTCTATGTTATATTAAAGATGAAAATAAATCTGATTTATCTTGGTCAAGGAAGATGATCTGTTTCAAAATCTCATGGACATTTTTCAATTTATGGACATAATTTTTCCTCTAAGAGTTTGTGGGCAGGGTATTTGTTACTTGTCAGTAGAAATAGATGTCAGAATCTTTCAGATTTGCTGTCCACTGTCTCTATTTCTTATATTAATTTTATTATATTTTAAATAAAAATAAACAGAAAGCTGCTATGATGCAATGCTAGTCACCGGGCTCTTTATTTAAATTTAAATGCAAATTGGCATCATGGTATTGTTAGAAAATTGTCATGATGAGATGCTAAAGCTTTTTCAAAAAGAGACAAATATAAAAGAGACAAACATAAACTCGAGGAGATAGAGGGTACAATTTCACCAGTTTAGCATTTGGTATAATGATACCCACGTTTCACTATTTTATTAATACACAAGTTACTCTTTTACAGCAACCATATTTTAAAATATGCAAGCTCTGAAAATCACATATGTGTTCATCTCCCCACAAAGACCATCAATCATCTCAGGTTTAACTTCAGAACAATTTTAGAAGCTAGTTTTATTAACTGGTTTCTAGTACCAAATCAGACTAACCTGTAGAAATGATTCATCAGTCTCAGCTGAATAGTGCAAAGATCTGTTGGATAAGCTACTACTGAACTGTACTTTGGATATGTGTTCAGATCAACTGGACCAGCAAAAGCTGCTGAAATATCTGTTAAAATAATAACTTTAGTTGAAACAATTGAAGGCATTGTCAGTAAATAATGCAAAATACAGTAAATTGCAAATTAAGTTTATTTTACAAAATCTGTACTACTTACAACATCCAAGCAACTGAATTTAGTGTAAAACATTACATATGTCTTTATGCTTATCGAAACACAGCTATCAAGTATTTAAAACCTTACCAAGTCTCAAAAGTTGATCAATTCCAGAAATAATTCGTTCACTCTCTCCACTCTGCGATTTGCCCTGCCATTCTCCCTTTTGAGGTTTATACAGTAGTTTTGCCATCTCTTCAGCAGTAACAGAAACACTTGCTCCCAGTTCTATAGGCTGCTCAACTAATTAAAGAAAAAACAAACAAAATGAAAAAGAGGACAAAAACAAAATGTAGCAATTCATTTTATGCAAGCTTTTATATCAGAAATTGTCACGCACAAATAATCAGGATAATTTATAAAGTTGCATCATCAAAGATTTATTCAAACCGATGCACAAAAATCTAGTCAACTAACAGTCAGTGCTAAATTGGCACTAGAAAAAAATGAATGGAAATCACAGGGGCTTGGACTTGATCTCTTATAGAATTGTATAGCTTATAGCCTTGATCTTATAGAGATCAAGTCTGGTGAAACTTTTATCTCCACATTCACGGACACTCAGCCCTGCCTGATCTTTTCCTACAGTTAGAGGTGCTTTAGCAACAAAATCATTCCAAATTTCTAAATATTTTATCTTCAGAATTTTCCACACTAATTTCTTCAGGACTAGGAATGGAAGTATTTAGAGTGTTAAGTATGTTCTGTGTTAAAATATATATATAACAGCTGCAACAGCTGCAATGAAATTCTTTTTGTTTCAATTTTTTTGTACCAGTTGCTTTTATTCTCCTAGAGAAAAAAAGTTTTGTGCCTATTTACTTTTTCTATCCAAAGGAAACTGAGCAAAAGGAATGATTTTGAGTATACACTGTCATTCCATATGTTGCAGGAATATTGGAAACGCTCAGGAGGATCTTCAGCCAACACAATTTGTGCACACTTCAAACCCCAAAATACACTAAGGCAGAAACTTGTCCACCCCAAGGATAAAATACCCAGACACAAACTGAGCAATGCGGTACATGATGCACAATGCAATGAGCTATGTGCATATCTGTTCACTGGGGAAACAAAATGATGACTTCATAAACGCATGAAACAACATCGAAGAACAAACCCATCAGGACTAGATTCATCAGTCCCTCTGCATTTAAAAAAGAGAGGCTACTCTTTTGAAGACAATAAAGTCCACATTTTGGACAGAGAAGACTGCTGGTTTGAATGAGGTGTCAAATAGGCCATCTGATGGTGATTATGATGATCGTCCATCGTGTTCAAAGAGGACCTTGATATCTAACAGGTTGTAGGCTGTCCATGGTGTCCACAGGTAGGACGGTTAAGGAAGGACGATTCACTCGTCTTCTCATCGCTGGGACCTGGGAGTGCAGCCCTCCCCTCCTGAATTATACTGTACATTGGTACAGTATTGGTACACAGGTAAGGTTGGTACACAGTATTGGTACACATTGGTACACAGGTAAGGCCTCTGGGGGCAGGCCATGTGGAAGTGGTTCAATTGCCTAGCATGCCTCCCAGGGGTGGGATACGACAGGGTTAACTACCGGTTCGGGATTTACGAGCTTCCCTGCCCACTGTGAGCCGAGCGCCGAGCGCCTGTTAATCGTCATTAGCACGCTACCTGCCGAGAAGCAGCCTTTGAAACAGCCCTCTTTTCTTGTTTTTTTAACTGCAGCTGTGCCTCGTTAGGCAGCTGAAGTTGAAAAATCAGGAAATAAAGATCAGGTAAGAGCCCGGGTGAGCGGGTGGGCAAAAACATCAGCAGACATAGAACCGGTTCTATGTCTGCTGCTCTTCAGAGCTACCGGTTCTACAGAGGTGGACAGAACCAGGAGAAACCCACCCCTATGCCTCCTTTATACAGTCCAAGTCTCATGGCATACATCAGGGTAGTTAGCACTACTGTTTGGCAGACTTCAAGCTTTGTAGCAAGGTGTCTTGATACATCAAGGCTGCCATTCCTGGGGGCAGGGGTGGGAGGAGAGAAGCAAGTTGGGCCATCTTGGAGAGCTGCTTGGCCATACGACCACACCCACCACTACCATGCCATATTTACCGGGACTGGAACACTCCTTCTGCAGCTGTGAAGCTGTGGAACACTAGAGCTGCAGTGAGGATGCCTGCGACGCTGAGTTCACAGCTGCGAAGCAGCTGAGTCAGCAAGAGAGTGTCTGCACGCCACTCAGTGTTAACTGTTTAATGATTTCCTGTTTAATGGTTTCCGCATGAGAAGTGGGGTGCATGCGTGGCTGGCTGGGGCTGGTGGGCACACTTAAAAGGTAGAGGGTAGCACTGGGTGGGTAGCTCTGACTTTATTTCATTTATTGTCAGTTCGTGCCATGGTTCTGCAACAACGATAAAGCCATTTTGACACAGGACTGTGTGTTTTGGTGGTTTGTTCATTTGCGGTTTAGCGGAACCTGACACAAGGTTTATTCCATGGCAGTCCCAACATTGGTCAGTATCCACCAAATGCAGAGCTTGCCTTAGTGATTCTACAGTTTACCTCAATGTCAATTGTTACTGTATGGGAGAGTGCTGCCAAGGTATGTAAATTGGTCCACTGCTTGCAGCTTTTGTCTCTTCACTGTGATGATGGGCTCTTGGTGTTGGGATTTTGGAGCTGGCTGATGTATCACTTCGGTCTTCTTTGTGTTGATGAGGAGGCTGAAACTGTTGCATGTTGGTGTGAATTTGTCCACACTGGCTTGCATTTCCTGCTCTGATCCAGCATTCAGGGCACAGTCGTCAGCAAAAAGGAGGTCTTGTATCACAGCCTTCTTTATCTTGGTGACAGCCGGGACTCTTCACAAGTTGAACAGTTTCCCATCGGTTGTGTATCTCAGGCTAACTCCCAAGAAACTGTTCTGGAAGGCATCTGATAGCATAGCTGGAAACATTATGTTGAACAGGGTCGGTGCCAACACCAACCTTGCTTGACGCTGTTTGGAACAGGAAAGGTCTCTGAAGTTTCTCCATTCTCCAAAACATAAGCCACCATGCTGTTGTGGAACTGATGTACCATTAGGATGAATCTGTCAGGGCATCCAAATTTCAACATGATGCGCCACAGACCTTCGTGACTGATAGTGTCAAAATCCTTGGTGAGATCCTCGAAGGTGGTGTACAATTCACAATTCTGCTCTTGACACTTCTCTTGAGCTGCCGGGCTGCGAAGATCATGTCCACAGTGTCACGCTCTTTGTGGAAACCGCACTGTGTCTCGGGTAATAACTCTGTTCCAGGTGGTCAGGCAGGCAGTTCAGCAACACTCGTGCAAGGATCTTGCCTGCAATGGAAAGCAGTGATATTCTTCTATGATTATCTCAGACTTGTCGATTCCCTTTCCTCTTGTATAGGGGTACGATGTAGGCATCTTTCAGTTCTTGAGGAATGGATCCTGTTTCAGAAGGACTGAAACAGCAGAGTGATTTTGTCAACAAGCACTGCACCGCCATCCTTATAGATGTCTGCTGGAATCACGTCAGATCCTGGGGGCTTTCCATTGGACAGCTGGCTGATGGCCTGTAGGGTTTCAGTCTTTGATGGTGGGGCATCCAGGTTGTGGTTGATATCCGCCTGGGGCACTCTGTCTATCGCCTCATTGTTAATGGAAGATGGGCAGTTCAGTACAGATAGGAAGTGCTCAGCTCAACACCGTAGGATCAAAGTCTTCTCACTAATGAGGCTTGTACCATTTGAGTCTAGTAGAGGAGAGCTCCCTGGGGGCTGTTTGGGAGTTAATTTTGAGTCCCATCTTCAACCCAAAAAGGTTCAACTAGCTCATCTTTAATAATACCAGCCTATACCATTATCCCACCTCCACCTTGCTAGCATCTGAGTCGAAGTAGAGTTCTGGGCCCTTTGTTGATCCAGCCATAAGCTCATCCATCTGGTCCATCTCATCAGTCCCTAAAACCTTTGGAAAATCTGTCTTCAGATATTTCTTGGTCCAGTGTTGCCGTTTCAACTTATGTGTCTTGTTCAGTGGTGGTTGGGTTTCAGCCTTCCTTACCTCGGCCATGTCTCTGAGCACTGAACACCACATATTTCTGGGCACTCCAAGTAGGTTGCAGTTCTGGCATATGACAGCACTGGAGGATAATGGGTTCCTGGCAGCTTCACAGTTGATTCTTCTCAAATATTTGGCAGTTAATGTGCCTCTTTTTTTCTCAACGTTTCTTGCGATCCCGTTGACGATTTGCAACAAAATGTTTGACAGTTCTGTGATCACGCCCGAATATCTTAGCAATTTCAAGAGTGCTACATCCCTCTGAACAATGTTTTACAATTTTTGATTTTTTTAGTCAGTTAAATTCCATTTTTGGCCCATTTTGCCTGAGGAAAAGAAGCTGCCTAACAATTATGCACACCTTAAAGTAGGGTGTTGATCTTCTTAGGCCACACTCTCCCTCATTACACAAATACATATGATATGCTTATAGCCACTAAGTATTCAAGTTTATACAGTTCGGAGGTGGAAGATATGCATAAAAATGATTATATGGTCAAAATACTCACTTGCCTAATAATTATGCACACAGTATATGTACAAGGTTAATTTTATCCAAATGCAAATTATGCTTTAAATTTTTAGTGCATCACTTGAGATCAAGAGAGTTATGTGTATCACAGCATGGTATTATTCAAGCAACATCAAAAGGTATATGCTGCTGTCATGTCTTTAATGAGAAAAACTATTAATGCCTCAGCTACCTTTTGCATTTATAAAAAAGAACAGTGAATACATGTAATGTGCTTTATCAATCAATGTCATGAAATTAATTATTTCTATAACACAGATACAGCTGTGAAGAAACATTACTAACATGTGAATTTATTTTCTAATAAAACAGATGGCAAACATTGAACTTAAAAAGACATACCAATTTTTGCTTCTTATTATAATTTATATGTGCTACACTACCAGAGATTTTGGCAGCTTAAGGGCAGGGGTGGAATCAGGAAGAAGGTTGAATACCAGGGTCCTTGAAGTTGGCATTTCCTCAGCAGTGAGCACCTCTAAAAATCCTGTTGCCAAGATCTCATTGGACAAGCAGATTCAACTTCCAGAAGTGTGACATAGATACGTCAGATACATATAGCGTTTTAAAGTAACAATCAGCGCTCTGAATTGCACCTGGAAGTTAAACAGTGCCAACTCCTTAGTAATTAACTGCTACTTAACTACTACTAGCAGTTCTTAACTACTAGTATTAACTAAATAAAGTGATCACTAGGAAAAAATACGAACAAATTAGATTAATATACCATTCTCTGGAATTGGCTCCATGTCCCATGGGCTAAGTCGCTCAGTTTCACCATTGTCCCATCTGTTTAAACAATTAGAAAAAACAGTGAAAGTATTTCTATGTAGAAAGTATCACATTCTAGATGTAAAATTGCACTTTTGTTACACATTTTATATATATATATATACAAAATAGGATATTTTTTGTGGGAACAGAATTCTAGAAAGGAGTTACAGGTATTTATATTAGAACAAGCATACATCATACACCTCTCCCATATTCATCAGAGGTGATACAGTGGTTACAATCCAGAATTGCAGGCTAGCTCTGACCACAATCTGGAGTTTGATCCTCAGAGCTGACTCAGCCTTTCATCCTTCCAAGCTTGGTAAAATGAGAACCCAGATTGTTGGGGGCAATATGCTGACTCTGTAAACCATTTAGAGAGGGCAATGAAGTGAAGTGATATATAAGTCTAAGTGCTATTGTTATATTCCTATCGCTATCAGTGCTCCCAACACCACTGTGCAGGACTTCAATGGTTTGGGTATAGCAAAGGTTGCATCCCCCCCCCCCCCCCCCCACTAATTCCTATTGTATATTTAACCCTTTTCACTATCACATTCTGGAAAGAGTCAATTCTGATTTAAAGGAACCTCCAACCAACTCATCCACCCCCAATTCTTCATTATAGGAACTAACATGCTTTCATAAAATTATAATTTGCAGTTAAAAGAGACACAGTTTTTAAAATTATTAATAAATGTGACAATTCTGGAGCAAACATGTACATACTTAACACTATAACACTGAAAAGGGCTATCTGGATATTGTGGCTGATATGGCTCTTGGCTTAAAACAGTTCCAAACCACCAGGCATCATCAATAATTGAACGAAATCGATCATCTGTAAAGAAAAAAGTTCTAAAAACATACTGTACTAAAGTTATCCAATCTCTTCTATAAAAATTTATATAGTCATTCTAAAACACTGTGCTAAGGAAGACCCCTTATTTGGTCCTTAGATATTTTTGGAATAGTTTCCATATTTGGTCCTCAGATACTTTTGGAATAGTTTCCATCATCCTTTATCAGGATAGCTAATGATCACTGTAGTTACAGTCTATTCTGTACTTCAGA